GGGCCGAATTAAAATTTTACGTATTTGATTTCCCCAAGGTACAGGAATGGTGCCCTCTAATGTCACTTGTAGTATTTTTGCAGCTCACATCTTAGGTTCCTGTACTGGCTCAGTGTATTTGATAATGTAAGTACCTACTTTTTGTCTTGAGACTGGAAAAATCTCTTTTCCATTGCTGCTTTTAGTGCTAGGATCCAATATCGAAATCTGGAAAAACGTATTCATTAATTGGATGTGGATCTTGCATGGAAGTGCATGGATTAGTGGTGATTGGAAAGCTGTTAGAAGGGGAAAGTGGTTGGTTGGTTTGTTTCAGTATGACTGTTCCGTCCAGTCTCTGTTATCCAATTGCAGTTATAAATTGAAACTGATTTTTTTCTCTCTCTTTTTTTTTTCTTTTTTTTTTTTTTTGGTTTACCAGTCTGCAAAGAAGGCCAGTTTATTGTCACTGGATTTTACCTCTGTGCTGGTTGCTACCATGCGTGTGTATATTTTCAGTTCATAGGGCTTCTCCAGCTACAAGTTTTTAACCGGTGCATAGGGTGTAAGCTCTGGACGTTAGCTTTGGCATGTTTTGCTCATTGAGACCTCGATCATAAAAATTTGAGATAAATCACTTCAAAAAAAAAAAACAACACAGGAATTTTCAATTTAAAAATATGGATTTTTTTTTTTTTTATCGTTCACCCAGTAACATCCTTTGGAAAAAAACAAAACATAAAAAACACAAAAAAACCCCCAATCAAACAAAACAAAAAAACCCTCAAACCACTAAAATATCTGTCATTCTAGTCTGCTATAGCATGAACTGTGGTTTCATGGACTGGCTGACAGTTTGTTGATTGTGTTATTTCATATTTAGCAAGCTTACAAGGGTGATTTTTTTCAAAATGTTTTGATGTTTGAATAGTAGCACTTTATCTCATGCTTACTACTGACTGAACTATTGGACAAAATAAATTGGGTTTGGAGAGAGATGTTTAATGGGTTTCTGTACAGAGATTATTTGGATTACACCCTGGTATGAATGCTTTCTATTGATTTCTCTTCTAATGATTTCTGTTCCAACCATTTCTGGTTTATTGTTCATGTGTTTCTGAGGGACTGTCAGAAAACAGATATTAAGAAAATATTAGTAATCCTATCATCTCAATTTTCTTGTCTTGAATATAAAGCTTGCATTTAAAAAAAAAAAAAGAAAAAAAGGTGCAAATAGAAACTACAGGGTACTCATAAATTTATCTCTCTGATCTCTCTCAGCTAGCTGCAGATTAGCTATGTTTACTCTTTAAATGTTTCTGCTAAGCATTATTTTTAACATTAGATCAATTACCTGGAAATCAGTATTTTTTTTTTTTTACTTAACTTATTTGAATTTTGATAACTAAAGATAATGCACAACAAAGTTTAAAGAAGTTGTCACCCTTTTACTCTGAGGCCAGGGGCCCAAGACATGAGTGAAAGGTTTAAACAGTTTACATTAAGCTGTTGTTTTCTTTAATTAACTAGAATA